ATTAGTAGCTTGAAGCAGTGAAGATTTGAGTAAGCAAGCATTAGTTCATTAATAAATAATAATGTAGACAAATAGCTGAAAGATATACTTAAGGTTAATGTGTAGTCCTCCAATAGTTCAGAGATATGGTCCACTTGTAAAGTAGCAAAGTATCCGTTCTCCAGTAATCCTTTATGGCATGCAGCAATCCTTGCATTGGCTCAAAGGCTGGAACGGCTTGTCTGAGCTTGTGGAGAGGTAAGTCTGGTGGAAGTAGCTCCCATTAGCTGAGCCTGTTGAGCCCGCGGAGGCAGCTCACACACAATCACCAAGCACCCTCTCTCTGGCCCAGTCTCCCTAAATACCGTCAGAGGGGGGCGGGATCCGGCTCCTCAGAGCTGAGTGCCGAACCCGGAAGTGTTACTCCATGACACCCAGTTACAGCCAGGATACTTTGCAGGCAATCCAGCAGGCCTTCATTCCGCAAAATACAGACGTCTGCTTCACCCGCTCGAACGCAGACGCCCCCAGCATCGCAAAGCTCCCAGGGCACCTTACCGAACTTCCGGGTCACCTGACAAGCACCCGGTAACAGTGAGTACACGCTACATGGGGGCAAACTACCGAACAGGGCGCACTTGTACAAAGGCATAAGATTTACACGAAACTCACATTTAAAACGAACGACACAAACCTCAGGCACGAATGCGGTTATACGAAGTTAACATCACCAAGTACTCAGTATTCATATAGTAGAGACCCATACGGCTAAATCTCTCCTTTGCATAATTATTATACATTTCGTTCGGCTTAATTTGTTTTATTTAGGTCTATACAAATAACATAGCTCAACACCACCACCTACCGTGGGAAGAGCAAACGACACCGTAATACTAAATATATCACAACGGTACTCAAAGCTATAGACGGTCTTACTGGGAAAATATGTGAAGTTTTAATCAGGTATCAAGTTTGTCTTTAAAGCGGTAATCAAATGTTGGTTTGCTCTGGGCACATAGACAGGGCCAGTAATCCTTTTGGCAGGAAATGTAAATGGTTAGTCAGTCAGAATTATCTTGTACATACAAAAATTCACTTTCATGTTCATTATGTTCGGTCAGAATCCAGTTAATACTTTCTCATTTCCCAACCAGTCACATAGATTTCTCTTGTATATACATTACGTTAAGACCTAGGAGGAGTTTGGGGGGGCGGGGAGGGATGCCGCAGTTATAACCTTGGCAGTTTAGGAAATACTCATAAAAGGAAACCAAACTCCAAACTTTAAATATGGGCGTCTTAGAGGTTAACGTCAGTAAAAAGGGTATAGAGTAAAAAGGGTATAGAGTCTCAACATGTCATAAATACGGTTAATTCCAGTCAGAACTACTACCGGTCTAGTGTACCGGCTCAGACGGATGCTCTTTAGTCCCCATTTATCAGTTTGCACCCCCTCAGTCTGCAACAGCGCCAGGGGCTCGTTAAGCCTGTCAAGGTAATGGCCCTTGCACAGTTCCCACATACCCAAACTTGGCTGGGCTCACACTCCCAACAATCTTAGCCATCCATTGTAACGGCAATTCATAATGGCACAATAGGGCTCATATTTTCACACAATAATTAATTCAATTTTGTTGTTACAATCCAGTTATGTAGTCATTTCGATTATATTCAGTCCCTACATCCATGTAATAGATCGCTAATTTGCTCTCTTCAAAGTTGGCTAATTTCCTTAAGTTGTATTTCTTTAGTCCCCTTTTTTCAGTTTGTATGATTAGGCTGTGGGGTCATATCTACTTAGCCTAACTCTGGGACATAACACACGTACATAACACACGAAATTCTGAACGCTTGCAATACCTTTTCATTATGGAGTATTAAACATGTCTTACAATTTACCAACCCACTGAATTTACGACAGTAGGGGAATAACCGACTGCATATTCATGTTCTATCAATTTAGTAGTCATTTTTTTGAAAAAGTTTCATGTAGGGTCCAAACTGCTTGGCATCATTAGTACGAAACATATATTTAGACCTCACTCTGCTTTTTCTGTTCCCACGTTGTGCTTATTTAGGCATTGCGTCGGACCCACGTTAGGTACTTGCATACGTCACGTTCATATAGCGACTTCTGTAATACTATCCGCTTTCCAGCTTTTACAATTACTCCATTAGGCCGCTGGTAATTCATTAATAGGGTTACTATACATTACTTTGGGGACCTGTTAAGTGGGATTACAGTACATCCAGTTTCTAATTATACCATGCGGGTATCAATACCAGTTTGAATATTGTATCTTTCAGGTTAATCCATTCAGGTGTACTCTTTCATTTATTTCGGTAGCAATTCAGGTCATAGTACTGATCATCCTTCTGTTACAGTAATACTATGTTTAAAACGTCAGGCGAGGTTAAACACACATTAGGCACGTTTTAAATAGATCAACTACCAATCAAACACGTCCACGTCAATCACTACAAATGCGAGTCAGGTTAAGCATTAGCATGTCGACTAAAAGATACGGTAAACTAGAGTTTCCCACTTGTTTCATATCAATGTCAAGGCCTCACTACACCTTCATTACGACAACTGCATACACTTCAAACCCTTATCATTTACTAGGGACTTGCCTCTGCACGCCTGAACCTCACAAGGGGCTCCATGAGCATTCAATCATACGTTACGCAATTCAATATTACATAGTTTATATTTTTTTTTGTTTTTTTTTATTGTAGTTTATGAGGTACAAACAGTAAATGTGCATTTTCGGTATGTACAATCATCAGTTTTCACAATGGTATCCTCTACATTCAGTTTACATAAAACTTAATTCTGTTCCAGTGTTTACATACTGTCCAAGTTTTACATATCCTCCAGTATCACAAGGTGTAAAAAGAAAAGAAAAGTTAAGCTCAAACTCAGCATTCATTACTAGTATACCCGGTAAATGTAGTACAGCAAAACAACACTGCCAGTTGGAGTAGCTATACAAGTTTTTGACTCCCAATCCCGTTTCCTGTCATTGGAATCAAATTATGCGCATGTAACGCGTTGTCAGCGGTTAACTGTATTTGAGCTCCATGTTCTCATTTTCCCTTACCCCCTCTGGCTGTGGCTTAATTTGTCCACCAGTCCAGGGTGTCAATGTTATATGTATATCGTCTTACTCCTGATGATTCTTTTGTTCGTACCTGTTTTTATCTATGTTGAGAACAATAACTAAAGCTAAAACTAAACGTAACGTGAACTGGGTGGTGGGAAGGGGGGAGGGGGGGGGGGAGAACATAAGTTCTCGGTATTTCCCCTGTACATATTTCGCTCGTTTTCCAGAGATTGTGTCTTGTCTCTCATCTGATTTGTTTCATTCCATGTCTATATTCCGCATTGTTTTTTAGGGTGCCTATATGCGTCCCACATTTGCCATGCGTCTATCCAAAACTTTTGTGGCGCCCTGTGTGCTCGCACCGTACATTCATAAAGTCTAATATTATCTAGATGTGAGGCTATTGTGTCTAATAGTGGGGGATCCTTTTAAAGCCACGCCTTGGCCATAGCTGTTATCACCGCTATGGTTACGTGGAAAAGTAGGTATTGTTGGGATTTTAAGAGGCCTTGTGGCATATGTTGCAGAAGGAATATCTCAGGCATGAATGCCACGTCCATCTTTCCTATTTGTTGCACAAGGGAATGTACTGATCTCCATAGTTTTGCAATGACAGGGCATGTCCACCAAATATGTATGACATCCCCTGTGGCGTCACCACATCTCCAACACGCCCCCGTCTGTTTCGGGTCAATGTGTTTCAGCTTGGTGGGTACCATATGCCATCTGTACAGCATTTTTCTCGACATTTCTATCTGGGCTGTGGATAGTGTTAGGTGTTTATGGGCCATGAAACTTTTACGCCAGTTTTCGTCTGGTAATTGTTTCCCTATGTCATATTCCCAGTTTTTAATAAAGGTCAGGTCTCTTATCTTTTTTATGGGTAAATAACTGCTATATACTTTGGAGAGGATACCAGCTGTTTTATTAGAGTTAGTGCACAGTTGTCGTAATGCCTCCATATTTCTCTTTGTTTCTGTGGTGTATGGTGACCCTCTATTTCTTCCTATCCACGATATTATCTGTCTATGTGCGAACTCCGCTGCAGGTGGTAGTTGGAACTCTTTTTGTAGTGAAGTAAAGGCTATGTATTTATCATTATCCATGAGTTGGTGTAAATGTGTTAAGCCTGCAGTGGTCCATTTTCTAATATTTAGTTGTGGGATCAGTGCTTCAAAAGAGCGTAGCAGCATTGTTGGTGGTAGCTTCGTGTCAAGATTCAAGAATTTTGTATATTTATCCCATTCTTTCAGTGTTAAGGACGTTATAGGGGAAATGTCTCGAAACTTTTTTCTGTGAGTTTTACTTATTCCCGCTAGTGTTGCAATGTCGTATCCCTCTGTGTGTGATGCTTCCAAGTGTACCCACGCCGGAGGCATGGAATAAGAGCGGAGTACTGCCACTAGTGTGCAAACTATCGCCGCTTTATAATATAGATCTAAGTTTGGGAGGCCCATTCCCCCCATTTTTTGTGGTAGGTAAAGTATATGTGCTGCAACCCTGGGCCGTTTTTTTGCCCAGACAAAGGCGTTAATTGTTTTCTGTGCGTCTTTAATGTATGCTGCAGGTAACTGTATGGGGAGGGTGCGGAATAAATATTGGAGCTTGGGAAGAACCATCATCTTGACGGCGGCTACTCTCCCAGTCCATGAGATATATTTGTTTTCCCAGCCTTTAAGTTGGGTGTTGATAGAGTGGAGAAGTGTGATATAATTGGCTTGGAGCAATTTGTGTGTGTGAGTTGTGAATTTTATACCAAGGAAGGTAAGGTAATCTTGTCTCCATTCAAAGGCCGTGGTTTGTTGTAGGATACGGTTTGTCTCCGGTGTCGTGAATAGGCTCATTGCTTGTGTCTTAGTCGCATTGAGCCTGTAATATGAACAGTCGCTGTATGCTTTTAGTAAAGTATTAAAGGTTGGAATGGAGAGTTGTGGGTTAGTCAGTGATAGCATCACATCATCAGCAAATGCTGTTAGTTTGTATTCCCTTCCTCCTCTTACTATGCCCGTGATTTGTGGTTCATCTCTAATAGTCTGTAGCAGCGGCTCCAGTGCTATGATATAAAGGAGTGGTGACAGTGGGCAACCCTGCCTAGTCCCATTGGTTATAAAAAAGGGTTGTGATGCGAAACCTCCATTTGTCACTCTAGCCGAGGGTTTGGAATATAATGCCTTTATTAGATTTAAAAATGGTTGTGGAAATTTAAATTTCCGAAGTGTTTCTTGCAGGAAGCCCCAGTGCAACCTGTCAAACGCTTTTTCAGCGTCAAGTGACAGGAATACACTGGGTTCTCCCCGCCGTTGCTTTGTGTAAAGTAAATTGTATAGCTTTCTTGTGCCTTCGGCCCCTTGTCTGCCTTTAACGAACCCCACTTGATCTTGTTTGATTATTGTAGGTAGCATATCTGCTATTCTTGTGGCATATAGTTTGGCTAGGATTTTGGTATCTGTATTTAAGAGGGATATGGGCCGTAGGTTTTGGGGTTTAGTTGGGGGCTTGCCTGGCTTCGGCAGGGTAACTATATGTGCCATCAGCATATCCTGTGGCATCTTGCCCGTGGAAATTATGTGGTTAAATGTGTCTACTAAATGTGGTCCTACAATGTGGCTAAATGTTTTATAATAAGAATTAGTAAGACCGTCCGGGCCCGGTGATTTGCCTGGGGGAAGTGATTTGATTATTTGTAGGATTTCAGACAATGTGACAGGGTCGCAAAGCCTTTTATTTTGGTCTTCTGTTAAGCTAGGCAGAGAGATATTAGATAAGAAGTTTTGGATGTCGTGTACGGACGGTTGGTATGTCTGGGGGTCTCGCTTTATGTTGTATAGTGTTTCGTAAAAGTTGGCCATCTCTGTTAGGATCTCCCGTGGATCATGCAGTTTTCTTCCTACTTTATTATGTAGGTATGGGATTTTTGTTTGGGCTTGTTTCTGTCTTAAGAGCGATGCCAAAGCCTTGCCGGCTCTATTGCCTTGAGTGTAAGTGCGTATTTTCAGTCTCTGTAGCATATGTGCTGTTTCGTCTAGGAGTAGCTCATTTATGTTTTTTGTGATAGATATTATATCCTGAGCCAAGTCTGCTGTAGGGGTTAGGTAGTGGGCTTTTTGTAAGTCCCTTAGTGTTTTTAATGAATCCAGATATTTTTGTTCCTTAGTTCTTTTTATATATGCCACTCTACTGATAAAGATCCCTCTGACGACTGCTTTATGAGCTTGCCAGGTGGTTGTGGGTTCCAGTTCAGGTAAAGTATTATTTTGGAAATATTCACGCATGTCGTGACTTAGTTGAGTGCGGAAGTCTTTATGCATGATTAGGGCGTCATTTAATCGCCACGGGGGTTTCCCTTTGTGGTCAAAGTTAGTTTGCAACCTGACTGACACTGGAGCATGGTCAGACCACACTATGTCCCCAATCTCACTGTTTGTCATTTCTGGTAAGATGTCTGCAGTAACGAGAATCATGTCTATTCTAGAGTGGGTTTTGTGAATGTGGGAGAAATATGAGTAACCTCTTTCAGTTGGGTGTTGTATTCTCCATATATCGTATAGATTGTGTTCTAGGATTGCTTTGTTTAATGTTTTGCATTGTTGTGCGAGGAGTTTTGACCTGGGGGCGCCCTGGGCGAGAGATGTGTCTGCTACCGGGTGTAGAACATGATTCATGTCTCCACATACCAGCATTGAGGTTTTTTGTCTGATTGGAATTTTGTTAAGGACTTTAAGCAAAAAATTCCTTTGGTTAACATTTGGGCTATAGATCCCCACTAATGTGTATTTAATAGTATTAATAGTACAATAGATTATAAGATATCGGCCTTGTGTGTCTCGTTTGAGTTGCAACAGTTCAAACGTGAGAGATTTATGAAAAAGGAAAGATACTCCCCTGGATTTGGAGGAGTGAGTCGCCTGAAATTGGGTGGGAAAGTCTCTTGTGCCAAAATCTGGGACTTTATGATGTTTAAAGTGCGTCTCTTGTATGCATAGGATATCTATATGATTGCGTTTCGCTGCTTCTAAAAGTACTCTCCTTTTATGTGGGGTGTTAAGGCCCCTTACATTATGAGATTGTATTGTCACACTCATTTGTGAATGAGAAGATGTTGCGTACAGGCCACTCAGGTTGTCTTGACCTTATTACCGTATACTCTGTGGAATGTCTTTTCTGTATTGTCTTAACCCATATGTTTAGCAGAAGTGGCTTTTGTAGGTGTGTGTCACATAGTAGGGGAGCTTTTGTAGCGTCATATGCACTAGGAGTACGGGAAGGATAGGTATGTTGCGGGTGGTTGGGATGGGTGTAACTTGGTTCATTATAACTTACCCCATGAGGGGTCATGGCGCCCATCTGCGGAGCCATGGGGGTTAGATATCAAAATATCTGTGTGGGTGGCTAACGGCCTTAACATTCTGTATATATAGCATAGGACCTGGTTCTGTGGGTGGTGACCCATGTTAGTTTTAGTGTGATCTCTGGGGGGGGACCTCTTACCCGTCGCAGGTAACTCTGCAATAACCCGATGCAGCAAAAATTCTAAACATAATTAATACATTTCTACAGTTGACAATTAACAAGTAACCCTTAGCGTCTATCACCATGGGGAATAGATTTAGCTCCATTGGTTGCTCAATATAGCTTATACTTTTACAGTTCAGGTACTCCCTATCTCGGCTTCAATATACCTTGTATTGATGTGTTCAATAATAGGGGGTAATAGACATGTGTTCGTATGTGGGGCATTTTTTTTTTTTTTTTTGAGCATTTCAGTGTCCGGGTATTGCCTGCTCGCATGTCGCTAATACTGTGAGCAGAGTGATTAATTAGCAGTTGTCTTACCCTTTTGTCCCCTGTTGGATAACTAAGGACTCCTATCTTTGTATTGTATTAAGCTATGATCTATATGAAATTCGGAATGATGCTGCAGACAGCATTTCCTTGTAAAAGTAATTATGTGGGGGCAAAGGGTAAGCAATGGGTTAATTGAATATCATGGGATACGGAGGTTGTATCCCTTATGTCAGTGCACATGTTCGTGTGGTACCTGAACCCTCAAGCAAGCAAAGACTGCAACTATGAGTTCTTCAATGTCCCAGTGCTTTCCTGGTCTCATCTGTGAATTTGTTCTCTGTGTTTGCAAGGAGGGATCATTCTTTTATGCGTCTGAAGCCCCAGGCATTCTTGAGGTCACTGTAGTATCCATGTCGTCGTGTCTCGTGGGTGATAGTTTCCATTAATCATATTCACTGTTTTGAGTCAGGTTGTATAAAGTCAGAGTTTTTGGGGTTCCTTCCAGAGGTTTAAGGCACATCGAATGCCTAGGTGGTGTGTGTTAATTTAGTTTACAGGTCATCTTCTCCCTTTAGCAGTGGTTTTAGTCAGCTCGGTGTGCTGGTATCTTGTTCCATTCTACCTGTAGTCGGCGGGAAGACATGTCCCCTTTCTCTGTTGCTTTGCACGTAATGCCCCAGGTTTGTAGGAGTTTCACTCCGTCTTCTGGTGAGGAGATAGTATGTAGTTTGCCCTCTCGGGAGATGATCATTTTTGTAGGGTACCCCCATCGAAATCTCATGCCATTTGTTCTTAAGCTGTCCGCTATGTGGGAAAGATCCTTTCTTTTTTTCAGTGTAGTAGCAGATAGATCTGCGAATATTTTTACTGAGGGGTAGTCGGGATGTGGACCAGATTTATTCCTGCTTGATCGCAGTATTAGCTCCTTTATATGGTAATAATGCACTCGCGTGAGTACATCTCTTGGCACAGTTTCTGGCAGGTACCTTGGTTTTGGGAGTCTGTGAACCCGGTCTAGAAGCAGCATCTCCCCCGGTATATCAGGTGCATAGGCCTTAGCGAGGCCTCTTACGAATGCCTGCAAATCTTCTGGCCCGATCGACTCCGGGACTCCCCACAGCCGCAGGTTGTTCCTTCTGGAACGATCTTCGAGGTCCGCTAGTTTCACTTCAGTCATTTTAAGTTGTTGCTCCATGTGCTCTACGTGGCTCGCAAGATCGTTATGTGCCACAGCAAAATCATCCATTTTGGACTCGACGTGTGTTGTCCGTTTGTTTATCTCTTGTACATCCCTTCGCAGTGAGTCCATGGAATGTTGCCAGGACATGATTAATTTCTGGGATAGGTTGTCAAGCGCTACTTGCAGGTAGCTTTTGGTAAGTTGGTCGGTTTGTGTAGCCAGTTCTGTGTCTTGTTGTGGATCTCGCGGATTCGGGCTGGCGCCGCCATCTTGCGAAGGCCGCATCTGCTCCGTGGCATCTGGTTGTAGTTTGTTGTTAAAAAAATTTAATTTTTCGCTTTTTGCAGCAGTTTTCTTTGATTTAGTTTGTGCCATCCTATATTGTGGCAATTTGCAGGTCCTAAGCAGTCGGATTGTGATGGATTGTCGGCCTCAGTAGCCAGAGCTCGGGTTCAAGCGACCATTAAGCTCGGCGGTTAGCCACGCCCCCAATATTACATAGTTTTAACAAGGTTACTTTACGTTTCAAGCTATCCATCGGAATATTGACTGTCATGCTATCTGTTTTTTGGTCTAGAAGTGGTACACCTGTAGGCATCTTAGGATACAGAATATTTGCGATACCAAGCCTAACACTTATAATGTTTTATCATACCGACACATATAATCTTTAAGTTTAAACCACAATCGGACTCTCCTCTTCACATTCAGCTCATAAAGCGCACATTGTTTCTCTTTTGTTAATAACTGCATTTCCCTTCATAAAAATAAATACATTTCCGGTCCATATCACAATCGGTAGTTTCATCAGGTGCCTTTTCCAGGCCTTCTCTCTCCGATTCTATCCAGGTGGTTCACACACGTATGTTTACGTTCACACTCATGCCGCAAGGCCAACTTCCCACCTCTGCACCAAGGTTTCGTCCAATGGCCCAACTCATAGTTAGTGCCTCTTCTGCATTTGTAGCATACACAATAAAAAAAGAAGTGGGTGGTGAGAGCACACTAATAAATATTGCACATTATCCTTACTTACATGTAGAATTGGTAAAAAAGTGCTAATACTCAATCCAGGATCCACAAACAGATCGATAGTATATATATGCCTGTAGATTGAAACAGAAAAGGGGGGGGACACTAAATAGTTTAATAACGTAGGAGCCACT